CTGGGGCAGTAGAAGCTGGGGAGCTGCAGGCCCTTTAAATAGCCCCCAGAACCCCGGGCTGCTGCTGCTACCCCAGTGGGGGGGGGCACTTACCTTTCAGTGTGGGCTGGGGTTGGCTCTGACTCCCTCAGCCACGCCCCTTCCGCCCTAGGCCACGCCCCTTCCAGGGGCCAGAGTTGACCCCAGCATACTGGTAAGTCACTGGACTTACTTTCACCCCTGGCAATTGGTCCTGTGAAGGGATTGGCTCCCGGGTAAAAAACAGTTCTTGGCTGTCAGGGAGAATGGATCCTCTGCTTGCCTGTCTTGAATTCTCCTCCCCCTCCTCATCATCATCAACAATGTTCTCCTTGGTGTTGCTTGAGGTGACCCGGGGCTCCTGGGAGGTATCCACAGACCGTTTTAGGGTGGTGGTGGGGTCGTTGCCGAGAATCGCATGCAGCTCCTCATAAAAGTGGCATGTCTGTGGGGCAGAACCAGAATGACTATTTGCTTCTCTTGTCTCCTGGTACGCTTGCCGAAGCTCCTTTATTTTCATGCGGCATTGCTGCGTGTCCCTTGTGTAACCCTTCTCCCCTATGGCCCGCACAATCTTGGCATAGATGTCAGCGTTTCTTCTGCTGGATCGGAGCTCTGCCTGCACATACTCTTCTCCCATAGGCGCCAACTGCGTGGGTGCTCAGGGCTGGAGCACCCATGGAAAAAAATGAGTGGGTGCTTAGCACCCACCGGCAGTCAGCTCCCCTCCTCCCACCCAGCGCCTCCCGCCCACTGGCGGCCCTGCCGATCAACTCCTCCCCCTCCCTCCCAGCGCCTACTCTCCACCTCAATCAGCTGTTTTGCAATGTGCAGGAGGCTTGGGGAGAAAGGGGGAGGAGCTGGGACAGGGCACACTCGGGGGAGGGAGTGTAACTGGGCGGGAAGAGGCGGAGTGGTGGCAGGAAGAGGCAGGATTGGATGAGGGCTTGGGGGAAGGGGGCAGATGGGGGCAGGGCCTGGGGCAGAGCGGGGGGGTTGACCACCCTCCAGGCCCAAAGGAAGCCAGCACCTATGTCTTTTCCCCACACAACAATAAGATCCAGCATCTCCTGTGTACTCCATGCTGGAGCACGTTTGTGGCTTTGAGTCTCCATGATCAGCTGTGCTGGCGAGCTCTCCACGCTGATCAAACAGAAAATGAAAATTCTAAAGTTCCTGGGGCTTTAACGGGGAAGTGGCTGTTTCCTGTGTATCTGGCTGATGTGCAGTGGAGTTGAAAGAGCTCTCCAGAGCGGTCACAGCAGAGCACTGTGGGACACCTCCTGGAGGCCAATTCATTTGAATTACACAGCGCAGTGTTTACACTATCCCCATGTTGATCCGTGGATGTCGAATCAAGCGCAACGCCTCTCGCCATGGCGGAGTACAGAAGTCGACATTAGAGGCCACTTACGTCGGTGGAAGGGACCCAGTAGTGTAGACGCATTATTAAATCGACCTAACGCGGCCTATGTTGACCTAAATTTGTAGTGTAGACCTAGCCTGTTTGGTTGTTATAAAATACCATTGTCTTTACTTTTCATGACAACATTTATATTTACTTTGCAGAGAGTCAGTAAAAATGGAAAAATTAGTAAAGATCTTTGGGGCAAATCCTGCAGTCCTTAAATAAGGACTGGATATGTACTAACTAAACAGCCATCAAAATCAACAACTCTTGCTTAATTTAAGGACTGAGGGATGTTTTCAGGTGTTGGCCTATTGTTTGGGATGAGGAACAGGTGGCCGGGCTAAGGGCCTGTTTTACCCTGGGAAGGATATCCAGAGCCTGGGGAAAACACACTGAGGAAAACACACTGGTATTCAACTTCTTTGTTAACTATCACTCATGCCCCTCTCTTCTCCCAGGGGCTCATTACTGGAGTCAACTGACTATTGAATTCCCCAGAAACAAAAGGGAAAGTAATCATTTCAGTAAATATTTTCTGCTGTGTTCACCCTCACACAAGGCCTGGAGGGGTTAATATGGCTAATTGGACCAATTAACTGCCCAGTCTGCACCTGGAGGAGACTGGGATTTAAGAAGATCAAGTGCAACTGGGTAGGAACAGGTGGGGCCCATATAAACCAGGAAGCTGGCAACAGAAGGGGTTGGAAGAAGGAAGTCTTCAGTTGCTTTCTAGAAGAAGGGAAGTGTATGGGGAACTAAATGCCACTAGTTTATGGTTATCCTTTAGGAGAAGGATGTGTGGCTTGGTTAGCCCAGAGAAGGGGGAGAGGCAGGTAAGGTCCAGAGGCAAAGCACCAAGGTATGGAGTAGGTCAAACCTTAGCTGCTGATGAGGGGGCCCCTGTAATAGAGGCTGGACCTAGGTCCCCCTACTAGCTACTGAGGAAGTGGTACTAGCTGGGCAGTGAGTAGTAAGACTGCCTGAGACCATCTCTCATGAGTGTTTACAAACCCAGATGGGGGGAACACATGGGGACTGAGCCAGGAGGTTAAGTCATGAAGAGGCAGATGACTTTCCTGGAGTGGAAAGATTCCCAGAGTAACAGATGATGCTAGAGACCCTGCTATAAGAGGGCACAATTCCTGGCCTCAGCTAATACCTGTGATTGCTTGGAGGAGGTACCACTAGTGGTGAGGTTACCCCTTGATATGGTGTCAGTCCCTCCTGGCACCCTTTTGCAGTCCCCTCACTAAACCCACCAGTCCAATTATTTTCCCACTAAATTATTAGGGTTCTGCAGAGGTGGGCAAACTATGGCCTGTGGGCCACATCTGGCCTGTGGGACTGTCCTCCCTGGCTCCTGAACTCCGGGCTGGGGAAGCTGTCTTTCCTCCTCCCCCTGCCCTGCAACCACACCATGGTGTGGGTAGCGCTCTAGGCAGTGGAGCTGTGCGGCTCGCGGAGCAGAGCTGCAGCGAGTCTAGGTCCGGTTGGTGCAGCAGCCAGACATGCTGCTCAGCATGGTAAGTGGGCTGGGGCTCAGGGGTTGTATAAGGGGTGGGTCCTGGAAGGCAGACAGGGGCAGTTGGATGGTGTAGAGGTTCTGGGAGGGCAGTCAGGGGATGGGGAACGGGGGGATGGTTAGGGTCAGGGGGTGGGTGGTGGTGGTTAGGGGACAGGGGAGTGGGGGGTTAGATGGGGGGTGGGGTCCTGGGGGGCTGTTAGGGGTGGGGGGTCCTGGGAGGGGGCACATAGGGGACAAGGAGTGGGGGGGGGTTGGATGGGTTGGTGGTTCTAAGAGGGGGCAGTCGGGGTGAAGTGGGAGGTGATGGATAGGGGGGTGGGGGCCAGGCTGTTTGGGGAGGCACAGCCTTCCCTACCCAGCCCTCCATACAGTTTCACAACCCCGATATGGCCCTCAGGCCAAAAAGTTTTCCCACCCCTGGGTTACAGCCTTCTGGTTGCCAATGTTGGTCGCCAACAGGTTTAGCAAGTGCAGTGATGCAGAAGCAGCGTCTTCAAAACAAGGTACGATTGTCGGGGCAAAGGATTGGTAACACTTTTCATTCCAGAGAGGTTAATGCGATTCTGGGGAAAATGCATCAGTATTCGGATGGTTTGCTAGAGACCAGTCATATCCTCTCGCATGAGCTCAAGACTGGCATAACCTGAGGGTTGAATTCCCCAGAACCCAAGAGTGAGGGGTGTGTGGGTTTTTTTTACATAACCTAGTAACCACTTCCAAGCTCATCCAAGAAACTTTGTCTAGCGGTGTATCGTCCAAGTGACTATAGACAAGACTGGATCCTGTTTCAGTTGTGCTGCTCACTTATGGAACTGAACCGGCCCCATTTCAAGCGGCTTTATTCCTACTCCCCCTTACACTGCCCCCTCGGCTCTAACGCGGTTAGCGGGCAATGGCCCTGGGTCTGGGGAGAGAGAGGATTGAACTAGCCTCGACAGGTGTTTGTCTCTGGAGGGCGGAGCCCCGCGTGGGAGACCCCCCCCATGGCTGCACAGACCCGGGAGGCTGCTGCGCTCCGCGTGGGGGCACAGAGTGGAGGGATCCCGCGGCAGGCCGGCCGGGCACGTCACTTACTCACCCCGGAGCGCACACGCCCCGCAGCTGCTCCGAACCCGGGGGCGGACCGGCGCGGTTGCACTGCGGGGGGTCCGCGCGGCGAGGGGGGGGGGTGAAAGGGGCACAGGGACGGGACGCTCGAACAGCCGGCTTAGGTTAGATCCGCCGCCTGCGGAGCCCACGAGCAGCTGACCTCGCTTTGTGTAAGGGGCCCACGGCCGCGCGTGAGCTCGGGCAGGGCCTCCCACGGTGCAGGCTGGGCGTTGAGCCCAGGGGCGAACCAGTGACCCCGGCCAAGCGCAGCCCCCGGGGTCAGGCACCTGTTGCCCGGACACCACGTGGGTGCTCAGCAATGACACCCGCCCCGCCCGACCGAGACTCCGCCCCTTTCCCGCATGGCTCCGCCCCCATAGCCTGAGTGGGGGCTGCCGCAGACGCTCCGCAGCCTTCGCCCCGCCAGTGCCCCCTGCTGTTGCTGCCATGGTCTGGGCTCCGCGCTGCCCACCCGGCGCCCGGGGGCTCCTGGCGCTACTGATGCTGCTGCCCCTGCCCGGGGCTCGCGGTGAGTGGGGCGGGGCTCGTCTCCCCCCTGTCTCGGTAGCTTCGGAGCCTTCCCTGTCCCGCTTCAGGCTGGTCCCGCCCGCAGAAACCGTGCCTGGCCGCGGGAGCGGAACCGGCTCGTGGCCGGCTGGGATCGGTCCAGCGGGATGGACCGTAACGTGCACAGTCTGCCTGGGGGCTCGTAGGGCGGTGCGCGCTCCTGCCGGGGTGTGACAGTGACACTCTTGTACCAAACCCTCCAGCAAACCAGCCTCAAAGCGGCGATGGGAACAATCCAGCCACATTGTCCCCAAGGAAACGAGTTACAGGGATTGCCCAGTTCGTAGAGTCTGTATCTTTTCTAGCTGACTTGCTTCTCCCCTGCTTCTGTCTGTCTCTATGGCTAGGCCAGTGTGGTTCTCCTCCAAGGCTCAGTTTTGCTGAGGTAACCGGGAGAACGTGGAGTCACTACCCTGTTGGATCCCGTCTGAGATACTCCTGTCGCCCAGGATACACTTTGGATCCTGGAAAGTTATCTGTAGTTACATGTGATGCAGATTCAACGTGGTCATTAGACCCTGAGTTTTGTATAGGTGAGTATCTTTGTTGCTTTTGCGTCTCAATTGATTTACAAGCCATCTTTTCCCCAAAACAAGGGAGTCCCAGTTCTGTGACCGGTTCACTGTTAACCACTGGCTTCCATGAACATTTTCTAAATCCCCTTTAGTCAGTTCCTGCTTAGATTAATAGCTGGGTTTTTTTAATGACATGTTTGTTTAAAATTCCCAACACTTGTGTCTTGGCAGGTCACTTTAAGAGCAGCTGACATACCAACTTCCAGTCATTTCTGTTTTCTGAGTCGACTGCTCTCAGATGGTCATAAGAGGAGGGATAGATTTACCATCTTTCTTGACCCTTTTTATGCATCAGCATGTTACAGATCCTAGACAGCAACTTCAGAATAATGCATTTCTTGTCTATGAGAGACCCCATTGTCCATATGATGCTCCTGTGACTATTGGGAGGCATTCAGTGCCCACCAGTGATGATGCTGGATTTTGATATTTTACCTATGCTAGTCCATTTTAAATGGAGGTATAAAATAAAGGACATTTAAACCTTAACCTGCTTTAATTTCCCCAATGATCTTGGTTCTAACCATGTCACATCTTGTCCAGTGTTCTATGCAAATACTCAAATACAGCTACAACTCCAACTCACTGCAGTTAAATTCATCATGTTCATTGGATTTCATTCCTGGCTTGGGGAACATTACAAATTCTGCAACCAAGTGAAAAACCCTGGTGTACTGTCTCTTTTTGAAAAATTGAAGTCTCACTATTCCTAATGCCTATGTGAGGAGGAATGATTTATTTATTTATTATTGGTTATTATCTTAGAAAACTAATGAATATAGAATTCAGCCATAGTAAAATTACTTTACTAAAAGTAAACCCAGTATTGAATAACAATATGTATTACAAACTTGATAAAATACTAATTCATAATAAAATTCCTTTGGATTCCAGCACCACTCAAGTTTGGCCTAGTCATCCTGATGACAGCAGCCTGGGTAGGCAGAGGAGAATTAGGGGGTTTGTGGGGACATGGGGCAGAGCAAGTGGTGGGGTCCCTTCCCACCCCTTCTACCTGCAGGATCCCATCTTCCTCCCTGGGCACTCCAGCCAGGGAGTGGGGTCAGGGCATGGAGACTTGCTGGAACTCCTGCAAGACCATGTGCCCTGACCCTGCTCCCCAGCAGGAGCGCTGGGTAGGTCGGGGTGCAGGGGCACCCATTTTTCTGGGGGTCCCCAATTGGCAAAGGCCCTGTTGGGTCAGTGGTTAATCTGCCACTGTGGGTAGGCCAAATCTGAGTGGCACTGCAACCCCATGAGCCAGGTCACAACTCCACTTTCACAAATCTGATCCAGTCGCGGGGCAGGGGCCAAACCGTAATGACGTTACAATCCTGGAGCTTGCAACGACTGAAGCAGAGAGACCAGCTCAGCTCAGCCAGCCCCTTGGCACGGGAACTGCAGGAACCACCACTGTGGGGTGAGTGCCAAGTAAGGTCCAACCCTCCTGGGATATAGGACCTGACCGAAACCACCCTAGGACCTCCATGCACACACTATTTACTGGGTCATGACAGGCCATAAACATTTAAAAATGGGTCCTCAGTCCAAAAAAGGTTAACCGCTGGATTAGACCATTGGCTTGATCTGCCATAGTATTTGCTATGTTAGGGGGAGCAAGTTAGCATATCCCTTTTTCTTTTTCCCATTAAGGTCACATGAGGGAACACTAATATTAGTCTTGGTTTTTTCTAGGAAGACCATGTAAACCACTAGAACTAGAAAATGGCAGAGTGCATTTAACCAGTTTCTGGTTTGGTGCAACAGCAAACTTCTCCTGTAGTGAAGGGTGAGTGTCAAGTTGTTTCTTTTGACTAATTAACAGAACCTAGACTGGTGTGAAACTGCTGGTGAAGTCTGGCAAAATGAGACTAGAAAGCCTGCTTAACTTCACTTAACATAGGTGAGTGGTGTACTATAAATCTGTAGCTATGGGCTGGGCCTTGTTAAGAATTACACCTGCGATTCTCAAAGGAGTTGAAGGAAGCTAGCCACCCATTTATGGCTGTTCTTTGGTGGGAGATGGGCACCTAACTCACTCAGGTGCTTTTGGAAATCCCAGCCTAAACCTTCAACAGGTCATCCCAGCAGCTGCTGGATCATGAGTCCTAAGGGAAAGCCCCACCTGAAGGGTAATGTGGCACTCACTGATCGGTGCCATCTCTGCCATGTTACAGGGACTGTTATTGGTCAGTCTTAGCATCTTGAATAGATGCTGGGATTGTAGGGCAGAATATTGCCCATAAAAGACAGCACCAGATAGAAGCAGACCTCTTCCTACGCTACAACAGCAAATATTTCTGTCCCTTCATGATAGATGTTGATATCAGGGCAGTGTCCAGTTCAGTTGTTGCTTTTGTCCATGTGGGTTTTGTGGCAAGCCTTGGGGGAATCCTAAATGGGTTTTGGCTTCATTCCACTGAGCAGGTGCTTTCTGGGGGTTGGGATAACTGAATAGATCGCATTGCATGGGGACCGAAAAACGCAACCAACAAATGCAGGTGTGTGTGGTGTGTGTTGTGGTGGTTTTTTTTTTTTCCTCTTCAGTATATCACAACCCCTGCTGCCAGGTCAAGCCCTCTAAAGTTAAGCTCTCTGTGAAGAGCAGTCAGATGTCTCTGGGTGGCAGCTGACCCTCAGTTTGAGTGAGAAGAGATGGTGGGGGAGGTAACTCCCTGATGGTGGCTGCATGGGGTTTGGCAATCTAAATGCCTTTTTCTGTGGATTGGTTGTCAGCCTGCCTTCTGGGTGAAGTAGGTTGATCCACAGTTGAAGGATTTGTGGAGGTAGGGTTTCTTTGCAGTGGCCTACATGGACTGAAGGCCTTGGATTTGTGCAGGCCCAGGAGTTCCCTGGGTTTAGTGTGAGGTTGGGTCTTGGACAGTAAGATGCTCTGGTTTGAATATGGAAGGGAGATGGGGTCAGGTGGATGACAGCTCAGGGCAGCTGACTTCTCTCCGTCTGTCAGGATGGGTTGACTTTAGGTCTGATTTTTATTTTACAAAACATTGCTGGGGAGGAAAGGTAAGGGGAGCTGCTTAAGCTGAGTCATTGACAACTGGGGTAACACAACTGGGCATTCAGCGAAGAGGTGTCTAGTACTGCTGCAGATAAAAGCACAGTAATTCTAAGGTGTAGAACGGCGACAGCTCGCATTTCAAACACTCTCCTACATCTTAGAAACATCAGATGAGGCACAGCCCCCTACCCAGGAAGTCAAAACCCTCTTTCCACGTGAAAGCACTGGGAGCAGACCAGTCGTGTCTATAATAACATGGTTTCCTGGGCATTTATTAAGTTCTATAGCAGGGATGATTAGAGCCCTCTTCCATCCTTTAGAGATATTTGCTCTCATTACTACTTGTATCACCAGTTTAGAAGAAGGATCACTTGTTTCCTTTTGCAGAGAATTAACAAGCATTCCCAAGCATCTGACTAGTGTAGACGAGAAGTGAGGGCATTCTCTTGCTAACAGTTGTACAAGCTTATACTCACCAGTTAATAGCTCTAGATTGCCTTTAATTACTTAGTGTTCCTTGGTCCTATAGTGTTAGACATATGTTTTATAGCAGAGATGACCCTGATCAATCACTTGTCTTCACCTACTGGCATAAAGAAACCATGTTCCATCTTTCTGAACTGTAACCTAGTTACTTGCTTACTCAAGTAATAAACTTGAATCTTTTTTCTTTAGTTACAAATTAATTGGCCGGACTTCTGCCCAATGTGTGCTTGTGAAAAATGGAGTTGATTGGGATCAGGAGACTCCATTTTGCAAAGGTAAACTAATTGTTTTAAGAACCATTCATGACTGGAGATGATTCGGCATAGCTGGTGCTACAGAGAAGTCTCTGTTCTTACGTCTTTTAATCCAAATAAGAGTAAAACTTGAGGATGTATGTTTGGTTGAGGAGAGAATGAAATCAGCCTGTGGTTCCCCGTGGTGTTTGGATGACTCCTATAGAATCAATGCTTAAAAACAGTCCCTTTTAGATTGTTTAATATTCAAATCCAACAGGCCTCATGGCACCTCTTCACTATTGTATCTGTGTAATCCTGCTGTTCACTAAGTAAAAGGCATGATAATGACTTCAAGAAGTTTTGACCCTTCCCAAACCTGACTACCCACTTAAAGTCTGAGGCTCTTTGGGAGTGAATCACAATTAATTTGCCTCTACTTCAATTTGATCTCTTGGATGCTTTCTGGGCTTGGTCTCTCAATCATGCTGCTGATGGTCCAGTCTGGAATCAGCTGCTGCTACAAGAAATGTCCTGGCTTAGTTTTCTGCTGGTGGAACAACACTACCTCTAGAGATGTTGGACAAGAAGTTCTGGCTCCCTGAGGCAAATGTTGGGAAGGGGCACGCTCTGTTAAGGTCATCTTCCAGAGTTGGTGTTTTATGGAGCATCCCCCTTGAGCAATGGATGTACTGGGTTGGATCAAGCCTAAAAAGCAGAAAAACCTTCAGAATCTGAAAGGGGTCTTACTTCAAATGTTAAAATGCAATGTTAAGTACCTTCCAAATGGCTACATAGCTTTCTGGGGGGATCTGAGAACTTTCTTAGTGAAAACTCTCTTCAGTTCACCTGTAATTTGAACTTTAATTTTCATGTTGACATTCTTTGCTTCAGTAATCCCTTGTCTTCCACCTCCTGATATCACCCATGGATCCCATAATGCTCTGAGTGGAGAAGAGTTTTTCTTTGGCTTAAAAGTAACTTACAAATGTGACCCGGGCTTCTCTCTTATTGGAGAGGCCTCTGTTTTTTGTACAACGAAAGATAATGTCAATGGAGAGTGGAGTGGGCCTGCCCCTGAATGCAAAGGTTAGTAGCGTCTGTTTTTATCCCTTTCTTATTCTACTATCTCCTTCCAGGAAAAACTATATTTTGAGAAGTCTGTGTTTCCCATAAATACATATCTTGAAAACTAGTTACTGTTGGAAACCCAATCTCTAAAGAAGGAATGTCACTTACTTATTTCTGGAAACCATTTTGCCTCTTGTACATGTACATTTTGTGTCTCTTCAGTGTTCCGAGATTGTGATGTGAGAATTAACTGCAAACAGTTGACTTTAGGTAGAGAGAAACTCTAAACTAGGGTTTTGTTTTTATGCCAGTATCCTACTATTCGAGTGCTAAAGCGGGTGGGGAGAGCCTTACAAGCAGGATTGTTTGGAAACCATATTTTTCAGAACTCTCTGGGAGGGCTCCTTGGCAGTGAAGGCTCAGGCCTCTGTGAGTTCATATCCCAGCCATAAAGTTCTTAGGAGGAGGAAATAAAGGTCATTGTACAATCCTCATTTGGGCGATGGCAGTGCTTACGCACACTATTGCATTTCGCTAACAATGCATTTATGTACTTGGTATTCAAGCAGCTGCAACAACTTGGTTTTATTCTTGCTGAGTTACCCAGCCTAACAGCTGGGATGGAGGCTTTTTCAGAGGCATTGGGTAGGTTGGTCACCTCGCTACTTTAATATTAACTCTCCCAAAAGCGGGGAAGTTCAGTTCCAGAAAGTCATTGTATGTGGCTCTCTTGTAGCTTGACCCAAATTCCTGATGGCATCGTACAATGATCATGTCTAACTCGTGCAGTTTACTGGAGGGTGGGGAAGGGGCCTGATATTAATACAGTTGGGTGCTGTGGTGTGTGTGGACTAACATCTTTTTTAAAGGGGAAAGTTCCAAAGTTGTGTGACTTTATTTTAAAATACTTGACTACAGCAGGCATCAAAATGTATCAGGGCTTTTTTTTCTCTCTCTCTCACACACTCTGCTTCCTGTGCAAAACATTCTTATGCTGGTACTTTTAATTTTCAGTGGTCAAGTGTCCAGAGCCAGAAGTCAAAAATGGAAAAAAACACTCTGGGTTTGGACCTGACTATTCATATGGAAACATTGTAATATTTGAATGTGATTCTGGCTACACTCTGAAGGGTAGCAGTTCAGTTAAATGTGAAGCTAATAATTCATGGGTTCCATCTTTGCCCACCTGTCTACGTAAGTATAAGCAGTTGTGTGGAATCTTTTATATGATGTTTAGGAAGCTTATTGCCTTTGAGTAGCCATTTTACAGTGATATAAAGTTTGAGTGTCTGTGTCCCTCTTTCGTCATAGGCATAATACAGACTTCTCCTTCAGGAGGGATAAAAGATACTTCTGGTGAGTTGGAAGAACTTTTGGGGAGGGGCTATTTAAAGCTTCCAGATTTTTAGCATGTAGATTCTAAAAGACTGAAAATGGAAGTGTGAAATTCAGAAAGTAAATTTCATCTCTATGTTCTGGAATTTTGTCATCCACAATTGCTACTGTAAGCAATGTTCTCCCTCGGGTTTTAGGGCACTACATATTTTTTTTTCTACCCTTCCTTGCATGCTCTTCTCAAAAGCACTTGAAACAGCTTACTAGCTGTCCTGAGCTGTGAGCATGTGTAAATTTCCTCATGAGGGCCCATAGGGTGAAGCATTCAGGAGAGGTTTAGCAGCTGGCCACCTGAGGATAGTGATGCATTCAAACAAGGACTTGGCTTCAGATTTGTAACAGCTTCTAAATTTCTTCAACGCACTTCTGATTTCCCCTCCTTTCAAGTGATTGCACGTTCAGTGTGTAAGGGCTTTGTCTGAAGCCAGAGAGTTTGCAATAGTGGTACCCACTGGAGCAGTGCATGTGCCCTGAGCTGCCTCATTACCCTACTGATCTTCCCTCATTCCTGTCAGCTATTTCTCACTGCCTGTGGTGAGTAGTCAGTCTCCAGTGAGCTCTGCACACAGGATTTTTCCTCTAATGAACTTGTAGCACTCATTGACCCATTGGGATTATTTTCTTAAATATTTGTCACAGTTAACTTGCAAAATTAACTCTTTATTTTTATTTTGTGAGGGTGGGGGAGAAATAAAGGCCATTGCTAGTTAAATGCAATGTGTACATGAACATTGCACTGCAGTCACCAACATGAGGATTCTACTATGTGTTTATAGACTTGGTATCCAAGCAGCTCCACCACCTTGGGCTTATTCTTGATGGGTTTCCCATAATCAGTGGGATTGTGAGGCTTTCAGAGGCATGGTTGGATGGGTTGATAACTTCGCTACTTAATATAAAGCTCCCAAAAGCAGGAATATGAACATAAGCTAAATTTAATGGCTTTAAGAACAGTTCATGACTGGAGATGCTGCAGTGTGACTGGTGTTAAATGTTCTTTGTGACTGTCTACACAGATTGCACTTGTGGAGTGCATGTGCCCATGTGTGCAAGACAGGCTCTTTTGAATAGCCGTGTCCACTGGGGCAGTGTCTGTTCCCTGGATGCCCTCTCACCATGTAGGTGAAGGTATAAAGGTCAGAGCACTTCAGCTCTTGCCTATTGGGTGAAGACTCCTGTCTCTGTCCCTTCTGACTGGAATATCTACAGGCCGCACAGTACCCTCCTTTCACCATATATTTCCCAACTCAGACAGGTTGCCCAAGGACACCTGCTTGCTTTCTCTTCAGAGGGTTTTTAACAGGTATAATTGCTACTGTTATACGTACCTCACAGTTCTTCCTATGCAGGTCTACCTTATTTTTAAGTTTAAAAAGCATTAGACTCTCTCTGTATCCTGGGCTGACAAAAAGTGAGTAGAGTTTTGCTAGAGACACACCTCAACTGCTAGCAGAGCACCTCACTCTCCCTGATTGAACTAACCTCGTTATCTCCACACTGATTTATACCTGCCTCTGGAGATTTCCATTACTTGCATCTGAAGAAGTGAGGTTCTTACCCACGAAAGCTTATGCTCCCAATACTTCTGTTAGTCTCAAAGGTGCCACAGGACCCTCTGTTGCTTTTTACAGATTCAGACTAACACGGCTACCCCTCTGATACTTGCTAGAGACAGAATCTTTGGTTCTTTTTTGGTTACATTTTACAGAGTCTAGACACACAGAGACTAATTCCAGTTTTATTTCTTTCTAGCAAGATCATGCCCTCACCCTGGAAAGCCAGAAAATGGCAGACTTGTTGTTCTAACAGATCTCATGTTTGGTGCAACAATAAACTTCATCTGTGAAGAGGGGTGAGTAATGGGCAGCTTGTGCTGATAGATGTATAGGTTTTTAATTCCCAAAGGGACCATTATGATTATCTAGTCTGACCTCCTGTATAACACAGCCCAGAACATTTCACCCACTGATGCCTGCATCAAGCCCATATTTGTATTTGAGCTAGAACATATATTTTTAGAAAATTCCAACCTTGATTTGGAGATTTCACCACATCCCTAGGTAGGTTGCTCAAATAGTTAATTACCTCCACTGTTAAATTCTGGCTACACACAAGGCACAAATCTCATTTCAGCTTCCAGCTGTTGTATCTTTCTATGCCTTTTTCTGCTAAATTAAAGAGGCCTCTTTGAAATCTTCTAGCCCTACAGGTACTTACAGACTGTCCGTGATCAAGTCACCTCTTAACCTTCTCTTCAAAAAGCTAAATAGGTTGAGCTTCCTCCAGATTTTCCCAGCCTCAAATCATCATTCTTGTAGCGTTTCTGCACTCTTCCCAATTTAATATCTTTGCTTGAAGTGTGAACAGCCGAATTGGATTCAGTATTTGTGGTGGTCTCATGGCTGCTGTGTATATAAAGGTAATACCACCTCTGACTCATACATGGATACACCAGCAGGGGACAGTTCAGTATCGCGTTAGCCCTCTTAGCCACAGCATCTCACTAGGAGCTTGTGTTCACTTGTTTATCCACCACGACCCCCAAGTCCTTTTTCAGAACCACTGTTTTCCAGAATAGTCTCCTCATTCTGTGACCGGTATTCTTTTTTCCTAGACCTTTGTATTTAGCTGTATTAAAATGCATGGTGTTCAGGTAAGCCCAGTTGACCAAGCAATCCAGATAACGCTATAGAACTAACCTGGCCTTATCATAATTTACCATTGCATCCATCTGTCATCTGCAGACTTCAATAGCAATGGTTTGATACTTTCTTCCAGATAATTGATACAAATATTGAATAGCACTGGGCCAAGAACAGATTCCTGGAGAATCCCAGTAGAAATGACCACTTCAAGGATCCTCCCATTTATAATGACTTTTTTGAGATCTATCAGTTAAACCAGTTTTAATCTATTTAATAAGTGCAACATTGGGTTTTTTTTTATAGTGCTATTTTTTTTAGTTAGAACAGCATGCAGTATTAAATCAACCAAACTTCTAATCTAATGGGGGAAAAATATCAAGTTTGTTTCATAACCTTTATTTTCCATGAAACCATGAAAGTTGCCATCCTTTACTGATCGCACCCCATATCAGCCATTCCATGACTGCCTGGGATCAATGTCAGGCTAACCAGCGAGGGACTCTGGGATGGGGCATACAAACCCCAGGAAAAGGCTAATGAGCTGATGTAGGCTCAGTCAGCCCCACCCTGCTACACCTGCTGTAGGTGTCAGGTTTGGAGGGAGGAGTTAAAAGTAGAGCACACAGCTCAGCTGGGGGCAGACTGGGAAGGAGAGCAGACCTCCAGCTCTCACTCTGAGAGAGGCCTGGATAAGGCCAGGAATGGCTTGATAGACAGCTGCCTGCCAGGGCTTCCCTGAAGGAATGTGGGCATGACACAGGACTGTTGGATTTGTCACAAGTGACCTTGCTGGAGCTGAGTAAGTCTGCTGCAGATGGTGGCCTAACTAGGGACCTGGCAATAGTTTGTCCTGGGCCTAGAAGCAACCAAGTCAGATTCCCATGATCCTACCTCCTCTTGCAAAGGCCATGATGAATCATGGGGGACGTAGCCTCACCAAGGAAACAAGCCTATCTAGGAGAATGAGGCATCCAAGCTACAGCTCCAATGTGGCACCATGATAGCATTTTGGGATTAAAGTATTTCAGTTTGGGGGCATTCTATTTTTCCATGAAACATGGAAAATTCCTGCGGAAAGCAGATGCTTTTTAAAAAAACAAAACATTTAATTGAAAATCCAATTTACTATCGAAAAATAGTTTTGATGACCATTTGTTGACCAACACTACTAATGATGTAAGAGAATCAAAACCTTATTGGATGTCTTGCCTAGTCCAGCATCAATCTGAGTTTGTATTGTATAAATTCCCTTCCCCCACTGTTTTATTCAGGTACAGACTAATTGGACATGCACAAAGAAAATGTGTGCTTGAAGGATCACAAGTTATATGGGACAAAGATATTCCATACTGTCAATGTGAGTAGAGACTCTTAATAGCTTTATGGGGAAAGTGTAATCCGGGTTAGACAATGAAAAGCGTACTTTGTCCTGCTGGATGGATTCTGAAATACAACTCCTTTATCATTTCACTGCATACTAAATTCTTGAACGCTTAAGTTTTTTGTTTTCCTCTTGCACCAGGCTGTAGAAAACCATTCTCTTTCAAATTCTTCTGTGGGGTAGAAGCACAAAAGACTCAGATTCTTGGTTAACAGAGCTTGGATCAGATCCCCAGCTGGTGTAAACTGAATCAGACCCTTGCTCTTCAGATATAGTATTAACATGCTTATAGCACAATCTCTAAGCACTTTACAGATATTTTTATATTTAGGGATAACTTTGCCTGTCACTCATACGCAGCTATCCCTAGGATGGAAAGTGACAGGTGCGTTTCACAGTAAAGAGCAGTAACTGTTTAGGACAGGGAGTGAAGCATTCTGGACTCCACTGAAACTGCAGGCAGAGTTTAAGGAGGCGGGATTAATTACCAAAATAGCTCACACTCCTCCCTTTGGAGGAAGTGCCATAGAATCCTTAATACGCTTGAATGGGCAAGACCTTGATTTGATTTCTCCTCCCTTCTTCGGCTTTCATGACCCTTCAGTCTGTGCATCCACTCCCACACGCCCTGGCGGCATAACTACATTAGGAAACGTTCCCCATTTTCTAGTCTTAAAAATCTTGTCTCTCATAGGGCCAAATCCACAGCTGGTAAACGGGCATAACTCCAGTGTAGTCAATAGGCTTGGTCCTCTGCTGGTGAATCAGTGGTACTCCCTTGATGTCAATGGCGCTGCACTGATTTTAGACAATCTAAGGTTTTGGTCCATTGCATTTCAGCCTCTTCTTCTCTCATAAGACTTTGGATATGACAAGTTAAATTCTCTCTTGCTTCCCTTCCCTTTACTTTCCTTTTTTTTCTTCTCCAGTGATAGCTTGCCTGCCTCCTCCAGAAATAGAGCACGGGACACATACTGGGACAACGATGGAGGAATTCAACTATGGGACATCTGTCACTTACCAGTGTGACACTGTAGAGAGAGGACAGGTTCCTTTCTCACTTATTGGAGAGCCCTCCATTCACTGTACATCCACAGATAATGTAAATGGAGACTGGAGCGGGCCTGCCCCTGAATGCAAAGGTGATGGGATCCAATTACTGTAAAACAAGGTGGCAGTGTGTACGTACACATTAGCAACGTAAATCGTAACAGTGCCACTGCTAAACAGATTAGGAGTCTTGGGGGCAATCTTATTCCCACCCCTCAGTGCATGTTAGTCACACCCATAGGAGAATAGAGCCCAGTTTGAGATTTGCAGAGACACTAAGGGGTGCAGGGAACTGCACTTATTGTGTCCAGATGGCCCCAGTTCCCATGCACCCTGCCAAGAACTGCTGCCTGTCCACACTCTGTTCCAACCCCTCCCTCAGGCAAGGAGCCAGGAAGCTAGAAGAGGTAGTTACTCTCAGTATGAGAGGAGGAAGTGACATGGAATCCTGGAAAATCTCCATGTGGGGAGACAGGCTGGCAACACAAGACTGACTACTCACACGGAGGAGAGCCGGACAAGATCTTCTGCTTCTCAAAGGGAGAAGCTGTGCCAAGACGGGATGGAGCAGGGCTTGGAGCCGGGTGAGGGAGGAGAGAAGGATAGAGAAGTGGAGTTTATTCAGCTTCTGTCCTCACTTAGAGTCCTCAGAAGAAGAAGAATACTAGAGCTGATCGAAATTGACATAAGAACTTTGTTTGAAAAAGTCTTAATTTTTTGCTTAAAAAGCACTTTGTGAAAAACTGTCCACATTACTGTGTTTTATTTTTCATGTCCTTGTTTTTAATGTTCTTCCCCTCACCCCCAACAACTGTCATAAAATGTTGTTGAAATGGCCATGGAATCTACTGAAAACCCCATTTTATGGGTGGTGATTGTGGTTTTTTTTTTTTAATTTATCATATCTTTTGATAAGATGTATGTGGGAAACGCATCTGTTTGCTCACTCTAGAAACTATTCCTGTTAAGGTTTCTGCAGGTAAACCTGGAGCATATCTGCATATCTTCACAGGAGACCAGATCTGAATGTCTGTCAGCTATAAGCACAGCTGGAACTCTAGAGAAATGATTTTATAATATCCACAAATGATAAGCAAGAGGACGGGGCAGTTCCAACAGCTCCTGCTGCCCAATGAAACGTCTCTTGTCAAAGATTGTAATTGTGTGTGCATGCTCTCTCTCCTCCCCCTCCCCTCCCAACCCCATAGCCCCACAATTGCCTGTGACAGAACTGCCATTGCAGGTGGTCACTAATTCAGCAGGGGTAGTTTGATACTTGACTTGAGTTAAGAAGAGGCTAGATGAAGACTAAATCTTGCCTACTAGGTTCTATCAAAACCGCTGCCCCTAAGGAATTTGAGAACATGGCATCAGACCCACTGATACTTTCCTGCTTTTCCTTAACATGATGTTTCAAATAGGTGGCTTCTGGGGTGGATTTGTGGGGGGGAAGACAGGGACAGGAGCATTCAGACATGTCATGATCTCTGCAGGGCCTTGTGTATTTGCTTTCAAATCTGTTCATATCCCCCTGGTAAATAGATCTGATTCCACAGAAGTATCTTCACTTTGGTTCCCAATTTTGGATTTAACAGTAAACCTCCCAAGCTGACACTGTTTTTCTTACACAGTCGTTCGCTGTGAACAGCCAAGAGTTGACCATGGAAAACAGATGACCGGATATAGTCCGGTATACACCTACGGAGCCTCTGTTCTGTTTGAGTGTGACCACCGCTACACCCTCAAAAGCAGTAACGTACTTCATTGCAATGAAAATAGTAGATGGGATCCTCAGTTACCTGTTTGTGAGCGAAGTGTCATATGGTGACGACCACCTCCTTCAATCTGACTCTGCAGCCCTTGGTTGCCCAAGATTCAGGGACAGCCAGTTTGATGTCTCCTTTGTTTTAAGAGAGGAAATAGTGACTGCTGTGTAAGCTTGCATGCCTCTGTGCTGACACAGCTCCATGATACTTCAGTTAAATGACTCGTATGCTGAAAACAGGGATTCCAGTTTTATTCTATCGCAGGCAGTGTTGCTCAGTGGATAGAGCACTGAAGTGGGACTCAGGAGACCTGGGTCCTATCCCTGCTGAGTGATCTTGGGCAAGTCACTTCCTCACTCTGTGGCCCAGTTTCCCCTGTAAAATGGGAATAATGATACTGAGGTTCTTTGTAAAGTGCTTTGAGATCTACTGAAGAAGAGCTATGTATTGCTGTTTATGTATTGTATAAGTTCTTAAACTGCACTCATCACCAGAATATCTGAGTGCCTTCCAGTATTGCATTAAATAATGTAACTGCACCTGACGTGTGTGGCTTTTTCCTCTCATCGTCTCGGGAGAGAAGCATGTGCAGTGGAGTTTCTTGTTTCGTGATAGGGTTTTAGATTTGGGGGGGGGGTTATAAATATACATGTCTTTTATGTCACATTCTTGTAGAGGAGAATTATTTCCCAGTAAGATTTCCTGGTTATGTATGTCCTTAAACTTCTATTTTTATTCTTAGGTAGCTGTGATGACCCATCTTACATTCGTAACACTTTTTGAGATCATTGTACCAGCAACTTGTTTCTGGCTGGGACTGTATTGAAATATAACTGTGTGGGAGGTTATGAGTTAATCCCTGGAATATCCTGTGAGTGTTACCAGTCAAAAAGATTTTACATGGTCTGAACATCAGGAACTTTGTCGGAGTAAGCATATTAATCTTTGGTTTAGCTTTCTTTGTTTTAATTGAGCTACAAAATTAACAAATTTAGGAAGCTGTACTCTATAGTCAATATGTGGTTCAAAGTGAGAGTGTCTTCTGATTTCAGAGTAGCAGCCGTGTTAGTCTGTATCCGCAAAAAGAACAGGAGTACTTGTGGCACCTTCCAGACTGACAAATTTATTAGAGCCTAAGCGTTCGTGGGTTACAGCCCACTTCTTCAGATGCATATAGTTCCACTCTATATGCATCCGAAGAAGTGGGCTGTAGCCTACGAATGCTTAGGCTCTAATAAATTTGTCAGTCTTCTGAGACTTCTTTAACAATAGGAAGCAGGGTCATGACTAATAGTTTAGTTTACACATTCATGAACAACTCTGTTGCTCCCACCCACAATCTCATATTACCTTAAGCAGATTATAATCAAGGTGGTTTCTATACAAAATTTATTGTAACACAGCAATCGGTGTGGTTTAGAACCCTGCTGAAAACCAAAATATCCTGCCAACATCAACTCATATAGTTTCCCAGAAGAAAACTGGAAAGGGGACTCCTCAATCCATGGGGCACACCTACTAACCCTTACATCAAGAAGAAATGATTTGCTGTCTGTTGATTATATAAAACTTCCACTTAAAACCAGCCTCTTCAAAAATGTGAAGGAAATGCTGACTTTCTATAGCTAGCAAAATATTCTGCTGCTCCTTGTAAATGAATGAACAGAATTGTTTCTGCTCTGATTTACTTTGAGGTGGTGAGCTGCTATCCCTGACCTACTCCCAGACAATGGAATTGCTGCATATTTATATTATGGTACCACACAGAGGACTCCGTCAGGATCCAAGGTCCCATAAAGTCCAACCAGCCATTAATGTGCCGCTTTATCACAAGTCTCACAGGAGTGGGTGTTCTCACATCCTCCACCTCCTGCAAACAAGTGGTGATGAGACACTTTTTCTTTTAAACAGAAGTTGATACATGTCTGTCTCATCTTAGGCTGGGGTTACGTTCTGCAGTCAGCGCCTAAAGCGAAAATCCCATATAGTCAAAATTACGTTGAGTGTAATGGCGGGCGGAATCGCCCGCACTACAGAAACAGTATTTAAATTGTTCTTTTTCTCTTTGTTTTGTTTTTGTTTGGGTCGACCATGTAAAGCTGAAATCGCGCATGTTAAATGCACCTAAGATGCGACAGACCTGTAACTAAAACACTCATAGTTGCTTGAGTGACCAAAAGCACCAACCCCATAAAAAGTGTACTTTATAAAGCGTCATCTCAGGCTTTTTAAAAGCAGTCTCTGTTTTTGGAGGCCTGAGTGGGGTTTTTTAAAGACTTGGGCCTGGCAATTCTGTCATTGCTGGTGGCATTTACATTTGCCAATTAACATTTGAAAAAGCTTGGAAATTCAAGAGAACAACCTGGTGGGTCTCACTAAACTACTGTATGGGGGGGGGCTATGTTTAAAGAAAGGAATTTTTGCAGAGTGAATTCTCTATTATTGCTGCAAAAAGAAGTTGCTCAGCTGTTGCAAGGTCACAGGTGTTTACTCTGATTGCCTTGTTCAACAGAACAAAGAAGGTGGTTACCTGTGAATTTACCAAGAAGGGCTCGTTCCTCCTTCCCAGAGCACCCCCTTAGCAGGGTCATAAGTAACCCCCATGTCCCAAAGGACTGTAAACTGTACAAGGCAGGAAGCAGAGACAATGCAAATGGCAGAAAAAGGCACAAGAACAAACTAAGGTAAATGTGTAGCTGGGAGGATTTTCCTCATCTATGAGCAAGTGAGTTAGAATTGTGCAGTTCATGAGCAACTGGAGGGATGTGGCACTTATAGGTGGTGCTCATAAGTCCCTCACTAGTGCTGGTGCTGTGGAACCAGCTGAAGGAGCATGCTGTCTATG